TGCTGCTGCTAGGAAAAAAGCACTCTTCCCCTGTTTGCAGCAATGGCCGCATGCCAGGTAGATGCATTTCTCAGAGGGAAAGCAAAGGTGGTGCTACTCAATGGCCTTCTTCATCATGCTCCGAGTGGAGGACATTTCGGAATTCCTCCTGGGCAGAAGGTGGAAATGTAGGGCCTGTCCTGGAAAAGGAGGACCGCTGGCCACCCTGTTGCAAGGCCATCCTCCCACCTGGCAGACAAGGGGGACACCGGCCTCAAATGCCGTTGCATACAGAGTTGGGAAACTTTTCACTTGTTTGCACTACAACTCCCAGAGCGTCTGGCCATCTCAACTGGGGGGATTCTGGGGTCTGCAGTGCCCCAAAGGTAACTCCTCTCATGCCAAGGAGGTGCCACTGTGTCCGGGGGGGGGGAGGAGTGACCTAAGGCCCCATGGCCGGCCTTGGCGAAAAGGGTCCTTGCCGTCCCTCCGTCCACCCCCCCCATACTACTACTCTCTTCTTATCTCTCATGTGTCTCCAGCAGAAACCCTGAGCGGATGCCTAATGTCCATTTGCAAGCCCTGAAAAGCCGTGTTTAAACAGGCGCTCCTGAGACGCAATTACGCTCACGCTCATGAGCTCTCCTTTCTAATAAGGCATCCTCACTTAGACGCCAAAATGAGTAAGATGGCAAAGGCTTCCAGCGGTCAGTTTGCACAAGGAAGATGGGGGCAAGGAGGCCACGATTCTGCACCCAGCTCCCCCCGGTCCGGAAGCAGAGAGCCTTGGCAAGCGGGCACCCGGCTGACCCTCTGACCCATGGCATGGGCCCCCATACACCCCCATGACCCCCATACGCAAGCAATCCCCTGCTCCCTGGGACTTCAGGACCAAGAGCCTGAGATGCTGGGATGGCTCCTGGTGAGAGAAATACCACTTTTCGTTTCTATACCGCTTCATAGTGAACTAAGCACTCTCTAAGCCATTTCCAATGATGCCCTTAGGTATTATGCATGAGGTACCAAACCACAGGTATTTCATGGGGGTCGGGGTCTTTGGGGCATCTGGGCCCCAATGGTGGAGAGCAGAGGCCGCATGCCCACCCCAGTTGCACATAGCATTGGCTTTGACTAATTCTGGCCGGGAGATTGTTGGCCCTAAGGCACCCAGTGCCTGGAATCATAGAACTGGAAAGGGCCCCAAGGGCCATCAGGAATACATAAAGCACCCCTGAAGATGGCCATCCAGCATCTGCTTAAAAGCCTCCAAAGAAGGAGATTTTGCCACCTTCCGAGGCAGCAGCAGCAGCAGCATCTTCCACTGTTGAACAGCTATCTTCCAAATATTGAGGGTCTTCCAAATATCGAGGTGGACTCTCTCTTCCTGAAGTTTGACCCTTCAGGGATGTAGTAATCCTTTGCAAACAGTGGGCAGGGTCTAGAAAGGCCGCAGGAAGGTCCACCAGAGGTTCCTCCCAGCAAGGCAAGAGGGTCAGCCATGGCTAAGCTGAAGGCAGATGGCCCTGGCTTGTCCTCTTGGCTGGCAGCAGGACAGGACCCCCTCCCCAAATCTGACTCCGATTAAAGGTGGACCATCTCAGCCAGCTTCCTTTCCTCCATGGGGGCCAAAGCATTGCCCACCAGCAAGAAGGCAGCACAACCTCCCTCCCAGGCTCATTGGCAACGGATATCTTCTGTTGTTCTCCACCTGGTTGGCTTCCTTCTCTGAACAAGAGACCTTCGCGACACGATGCCATCAACAGCACGGCTCAGGTCTTGCAAACTCAGGGCAGACGCAGCTTCTTTGATCCAGCCGTATAACACTCGCACTCTTTGCCTGCTGCCTTCCACTTTATTCGGCATTATCATCTTTTCCATTGAGTCTTACCATCACATGATATGCCCAAAGAAAGTCTGGCTGCCTCTGTTCCATAATTTTGGCTTCTAGGGAGAACTCCGGCTGGATTTTCTCTCTGACCCATTGGCTTTTCTTTTGGGCAGTCTATGATATCTACAGAGGCTTCTTCCATTTCAAATGAGTCAATCTTTCTCCACTGTCCAGCTTTCACAACCATAAGTAGAAATTGGAAATGTTAAGGCTTTGCCAGGATTATCAAGGCCACAATATTTCCAATTTCTGCTTATATTTGTGAAAGCTGAACACATCATCTTTACAGAGGGAGGCCTTGGTTTTTTCCACCTTACAGGGTTTTGATTTAGCTTTTGCTTATGAAAATGGCTGACAGATTTCACCCCCGTAAAATAAAGCATGTGTTTTCATTCAAAATACCTCTTGCAAACAAAGGAAATATCCTTGCAAAATAATGCAAAATGGGATGGACGCAGAAAACAGGAAAAAAGGCCTTCTACTAGGCCAGCCTTGCTGTCTAATTCAATTTCAGCCATTGCCATCCTCTGAGGCTGAGAGAGAGTGACTTGGGTTTCTATGGCTGAGCAAAGAACCGAACCCTGGTCTCCAGAGTCGTAGTCTGACACTGAAACCGTTACGCCACACTGGCTTTCATTCATTCATTCATTTATTATAAATAAACCAATTTATATGCCATGTTATTTATATGCCGCCTTCGTCCCAGGACTGGACCCAAGGTGGCCTGCGCCAGTGGAGCCGTGGCCAGGATCTGACCGGTTGTCCCCCTTTAATTCATGCCGAACCCTTCAGATGCATTTCTTCATCATGGGGCTCAAAAGGTGAGGCTATTAAGCCCGTCTCCCCAGGGCTGCATGCAAAACTCATTTCTGAGTTGCTTCCGCTGGGTCTTTGTTTTTCTTCTCCCCCGAGGCTGGCAAGGAAAGCAAAGGTGTCTGAAGTCACAGGCCTGTTGCTAACCGTAATCATATCTATACCGTAGGTGTCCTTCCCAGCATGGAGGAATGAGTTACGGTCTCAGCATCTTTTATTCTGTGAGATTGGAGTCGGCAGGCAGGAAGAGTGGGCAAGCGGAAGGCAATTCCTCTTGGAACCAACTATGCCATTAAAAATATAGTATGCATATAAATATATTGTTTTTATTGTACGTTTGCCGGGTCTCTTTGGGTTTGTCCTTAACCGCTTATTTGAATTGCTACCCTGTCTTTCGGGAGGTCTTTCCTGCTAATACAGGCAAAGAGGAGGCATGCTATTAAGGAAGCCATCATG